GATCGTGATTGTCGCCTCCACTGATACGTTCTCGTGCTGTTGTTTCGGTGCAGTCAGTCGGTGATCGTGCGTATATAATATATAATACATACATATACTCCATACACATACATACCTACGTACGTACATACAGACAGACAGACATACACACCCATATGCTCACAATACCTACAGTAACTACATGCTTACATACCTACATACATACAGACCTGCATTACCGACATACATACTACACATATAATATGTACCCGGAAGCTCCAAACACCGTGAAATTTATCAGCAAAACGTCAGAAACTGGCTTTGACAATTTATGCATATAGAATTCCAGTCGGCGCCCGCATTCAGGCTATTTCTCTCATAACTGCTAGTTGCCAGTCTTAGATAGGTTGGGATTCCTACTGCGGAAAACTGCGGTTATGACCCTTATGCCTCAGCGACAGCTCCCGTTTGCGCAGGTTCGTGCATTGCTAGAGTTGCATGAGAGCTTCGATCCTTTCATGCAGTCATGCAGTGCAGACATCGGCTGTATGTATGTAAGATATTTGCATATATATATATATATATACTTATACATATACACACACACATATATATATATATACACACATATCCATGTATTTCTTTATACGCTGCAGAGCTGGGCCAGCAGACATTTCGGGCTCAGTTCGTGTTACTTCCGGCTTCCAGCGAGGCAACCCGGCTGCAGAGTCCCCGAACCCTTGAATCCTCAACTTACCTGTACCCCAAAACGCATAGGTGCACGATATATCTATGATGTAGGGAAGTCAGAGTAAGGAATCTTGAGAATAACGTGCGCTTTTCCGGTCCATGTTGAACTGTGACTTAAGCCCCTCAGACATGCCAAGCTTCGTCAAGCCTCTGTAGCCTTGGACCAGAATTACATCCCATGGATGCCCTTGGCTCACAAAGAAACGGGACAAGACTTTCCGAGTTCAGATATGCTATGGTCTTATGATTGTTTTCAATTGCCAGGGCATGGGTTGCGCAGCTTAGCTTAGCTTGTGGTGGCATCCTGGGCTTCGGGAAATCGAGGGCATCGCAAGGGCCATGTTCAGGGAGCTACGCTGAGTTACCAGCAGTCCGAAGAGATATGCAACGATCGCGTAGCTTAGCCCGAAGCTGTTTTTCCTGTGCTGTCGATGACACAGTGCAGGACGCGACATGAGTCCATATTGAAAGCATTTGAGGACTTATTCAGCCCCCTCAACTCTTGAAAGCCTATAGAAGACAGTGCAGACAGGTTCAGCTGCAATTTGTGGGGTAGGAGCCGAGGACATGGCAGATATGGAGTTGGAGAGTGGATCCGCGCAGTCCAAATCGACCAGCACACCGCAAGAGCGCCGTGGCTCCGTCATCATGGTCCGTGCTATCGAGGCTTGCTTTCAATTACCTTGCGAAGTAAACCACAGTACCTCCATATCCGGGGAAGCTGCTTTTCTCATTTATTGAAAAAGTGGGAGCTCCCGTATTTTTAAAAAGCCGCGTCTGTTGCTCTTCATTCAGAGGGCGATGAGCATTCCGGATCTGGCCTCGTTTCGTAATTGTCCGTCGGTTTCAGAGCCTGTAGGGTCACCGTAAATCTTTCAAGGTGGACCCTAGGCCCAATGTGGAGGTCAGCCCCCCCCCTAGCTTCTGCCATGATACCGCAAATGAGGAGTTCTCTCGGATTGCTTTGGCCATGGCTGGCTACGCCGTCGCTTACGTCTACTCGTCGCAGGGCAACCTGGCCGGTACAACCAGCTGTGGATGCCTCAAAGAACCTGTAAGATCCGAGTTCCGAGCGAACACAGAACAAAAACCAAGCTAAATAAATACCAGCGTTCTTGTGAGTAATTTTCAGTGCCGCGATCAGTTTACCAATACAACAACTAACAAATCATGTTCACTATCAAGTCCTCCCTCTCCACCTCAATGTTCGATGACCAGGGCACGTCGAGGATGCTGCGAGGATCCTCCAGTTGGGCCTGTCCGTCGCCCTCAGTGGGACCTGCGCGCTGGAAGGCGATTCTTCGTGTGTTGGTTGGGCTTTTGGTGTGGGGGTTAGGTCAGGTAATGGTCTCGGTTTCGGTGCACCCGGCTTTAGCAACGCTGTTAATTAGTCCCTGGAGGAGCTACTTCAACTGATTGTTGCGACGTGATGTAAACAAATCATTGCCAGCAGAGGACTTGCTAAAGCTAGCCTTCAATGTCCAATGTCTGTAGTCATGTTCATTGCTATTTCATGTGGGTCTCAACCCTCCGACTTATACTCTCAAGTCAAAGCGAGCCTTTCGCAGGTATTTGCTTCTACGAGACTGCGGCACGGCAAAAGGGGCCCCTGGCATTTGGTCGCAGAACTTTTTATTTTGTTCGATCTTAAGGTAGGATAAGTCATCCTGAACCAAGGTTGACTGGTTTGGATGGTGGGGTGGTGAATCCTGTTCGACATGACCTAGAAGATAAGTTCAGGTCTGTCAGCTAGCGGCTTCAAGTGCAAGAAAACCGCACATAAATACAGCAGTGATTCATTGCAGAATCTACTGACTAGTCTAGAATACCACACGGTATAGTATAGTATCGTATAGAATCGTATAGTCAATAGGCGTAGTTTGACGCTTGCATTTTCACCAAGCAGGTATGATCGCGGGTTCGACTTCTCGACCGGACGAAATCCATATGCCACACAGAGCACGCTGTGGTTCGCATCGAGCTGCATTGTTGGAGTGGTTGCCTTCTTTGTGTACCCCCGGGAGTCTTCGGCGCAGATCGTCCTCGCGACCCTCCAGCTCTTGTTCTTTCTGATGTCAGCCCTGAACCACGCGTATGAAACAGTATCTCACGGCAATTGGCGTTGGCAAAATGTGAATCGTCCCCTGCTCAGCGTGGCGATGGTCGCAGGCGCAGTCTCCGGGCAGCAGAAGGACCTTGTTTTGGCTTCATCCCCACATCCCCACATGCCCTTAAGCGCGATGCCACAGCATGCCAAGCAAAATCCGAAGATTTCCCACGACCTCACCAGAGTTCAGGTCCTCAGACTCCGAGGCCCTGACCGTTTCACTGTTTTTTTGACCTGTTTTGACTTGAACACGCAGGGAGTTCAGGAATCGAGTCGCTACTGGCGTAGCATCGGGCCCCAGGTAAGTAGTCAAGACCGCGCATACAGAAAATTTGGTAGTCTTGACGCCCTTTGCTGAGCCCTCACAGCTCTGGAGCCATGGAACAAGACCCTAAGCCCTAGAAGCTTAACCCGGTCACCAACAGACACGAGGGTTCAAACAAAAAAAGAGAAAAGAAGCTTAACCCGGTGCCTTCTTTGTCCGGGCAAGGTTCCGATCCTCCTGAAGGCCTCGCCGGCCTGACAGCCGCTGATACCCGGACCGATGCCTTCCCTGTCATAGTAGAACCTAGCCCTTTTACTTTAAGGACGAAATACACCCTAAAAGGGTTCAAGGTTCATATACCATATATAGGGATTCATAGTATTTGGGTATAGGGCCCCTAACTTTAGGGGTCATTTGGTCTTTGAGGTAGCAGACACGTTATGATTTGCCAATGCACATGCGGTAAGCTTAGTAGGTTTCAACCTTCTACGACATCTCAACCATCTGATCATGCTTGAGGGTATAAGGCGCCCACAGCCGAACCCTGCGGCCGCTGCCTCTGAGTTCCGCTGTACTACTCATGATTTCCCTGTACAGCAGAGGGGCGAGGTGGTTTTGTGAGCTCTCTGCAGAGAGTGCAGGGTAGTTTAGTTGGAGTATTCTGTGTAAAGATCTGCGAGATCGGGACCGACTCTGAAATGCCCGCTCAAGCAGAGAAGTATGCTTCCCTTATGAGCTCGGGGGTTCTGGCTCCAGCAGAGCATAATTCAAGATTAATAGACATCCAGCCAGTTCGACTCGAAGAAGCGCCTGGATTCGAAATCGATGTGTTTCTGGGGTTACCCCTGCTTGATTCAGACTGATGAATTTAGGGCCTCAATACTTCGAACAGGGTTTTGGGATACAGTTCAGGATAGTTACAATAAGGAACCCGAAGGAACAATGTTGGTAATTCTTCCTCCCATGTATTACACCCGTTTTGGGCTGGCGCTTGCTTCGGACCCTGGACTGAAGAACCCAAGCAACACAGCAGACCAACCCTACTGACTGGTGAGTAGTTAGTGTAGTATATTAGCATTCACCCGAGCACCCCAGTCTAACCATCTAATCACTATTGCTATAATCGCAAGGATGACACAAGAACCCTTACAGAACGCTCTTCTAACTCTAGCCGTTCTCTTCAGATCTCATCGACCTGCCCAGGTGAAACCTTGCGCAAGAGGAATGAACGCTCTGTCCGCTTTGGAAGAAAACAGAGCTACGGCTCCGGGTGTAGAACTTCGGGGCACTAGTCAGCTAAGCAGGTGGCATCAAATTACAACTCCGAGATTCCAATCAGAAGTGTGGCTCAACCCGAATCAACCCCACCGCACGTCCCGAAACCGTTGTGATCCTACAACCCCGAAACCCAACAGCCCCCTAGCTAAGCACTAACGCCGCCGACAAGCCGGTAGACTTAGCTCCTATCCTGAGGGAGTTTCAAGCTGGACTGATACCTGCCGGAGAAAAGCATGTCATCTTAGGAGCTGAGCATTTGTAACCTTTTGCTCGGGATTGAGGTTGAGGCTTTTGCAGCTGGCCGCAGAGTGCTAGTTACCTACTGTGCAGTAGGTTCCTGCCTATACAGCTGAATAGTCGAACAGGACTCATTATGTAGACGTCTGGGTATGTTTTCGCTGTATAGCAGCTTAGCCCTGCTGGCATTGGGTTCGGCCTGTTAAGTCGACCGTGATGACAACCTTCCAGAGCCTGGCAGAAAGTGGTGATGTTGAACTGCGGCCTTACAGAGTGATGCGTAACATGTCACTTTTTGTAAATCAGTGTAAATCTAGTCTTGCACAATCAAGCCATGTAGTCTGTGTTAAACTGTGGCTGCTTCCCTGCCTGGATCCGACTGAGGCTTAAAGCAGGACCTGGAGAAGAATGCGTCGCAGCCGTGCCTTCAGGCTCTCGGGTGAGATCCAGCTTGGAATTTAGGCTTTAGGACAAAGAAATGCGCCCACTTTTCTGAATCGTGATTCCACGATGGCATAAGAGGCCGAGAAGCTGAGAAAATTCGGCTTCGGCGACGTAGCAGTGCATGGGCGCCCGGTTGCGTGTTTCACGGTGTAGATGTCATGCGGTAGACCCACTTTGGATATTGGGTCCCATGATAAAGGGCAGGCTACTTCCTCTTTGAATTTCACAAGGCTGGCCAACTTGCGCTGTTCTCCCTGCGTCGCTACGCCCTGACCGCCGGCGCTAGCTGTGCTGTTGGCGTGGATGGCACGACGATTCTGGAAACTGGGCGAGGAATAAATCGCGGTTGGACTCGAACACACTCCGCTGAACCCGACCACATAATTCCACATTACGCTTCCTTTTCTTGCGGGCACAGACTGGTTGTTTTGCGATTTACTTCCTCGAGTCGGCCTTCGTGGGTCCTTCATGGCATGCATGGAGATCCTATACGTAGCTTCTTATGTGAAAAGTACATAAGTTCGAAAGAGCATTCGTGTGTCCCCTGTTCATCCAGTCGGTGTGAAGCCTGCGATGCCCACATGTTGTCTCATCGCTGAGGTCTTGTTGTGACGAAGTGATAATCACAAGCCAAACCCGAGTTCTCATCCCAGAAGCCGGAACCTCGGCACACGTCTGAGGTCAAGGTCTCAACCGCCGAAGCCCGAAACGGAAGTTAGCAGCCTCACGAAGTGGTCGTGTGTTTCTTGTTGTGCAGAAACAGTTTCACGAACTGATGTTGTAGCAAAACAGATGTCTGCCAACACCAAATCAGCAAATCAGACTCACCACTTCCCTAAGGCTCCGGCTGCAGACGCTGCAACAGCATTCGTCCCCTAAACCCCTCAATCCCTGAATCCCTATAACTGTGGCCCCCTGAAGGGTACCCAGAGGGCCTTGGGGGACTTCAGCCCAGGATGTTCCATGCCCCGGAAACCCTGCACAAGCAGCCTCGGGGAAGCAGAGGACATGCTGAAGAGCGCTTCGGGAGGGAGAGGGAGGGGGATACGGAGGGAGAGAGAGAGAGAGAGAGTGACCGATGCACCAGTAACATCGAATTTATGGCAATGCATTATTGTTATCATCGTCTTTGTCGTGGTAGCGAAATTTGTTTTGAACTTGTTCGTCATGAACATGATGGGTAATAGTGTTGCTTGATGCTTAACCTAGGTTTGAGTGTGTGGCATGGTATATATGTATATATATATATATACACATACATACATACATACATACATACATACATACATACATACATACATACATTCAATTGTGTATTCGGCATGCACAACAGGTTTCTTGTAATAAACTTCTCCCTGCAAGCTGAAGGAGCCAACAGTTGGTTTGCAAAGATGGCTGCGGGACCAAGGCCGCACTGAAGCAGTCCAGGGCTAATATAACCTAGACACTGACCCTAAACACGGCAACGTAAGGACATCGGAGTCCTTTTCCGGCTCTGTTAATAGTTTATGAACTCTGAACTCTGAATATCTGTAACCCTACACTGTGAAGAGTCATATTCAGGCCTGTAAGGCTTCAGGTAAACCCTGTACATCCTACAACACATCCCCATACTTATGGGGTAGCAATTCGAAAGCAGCGGGGTTTCGGCTGGTTATGTGTCGCCTACGCGTGATTCATAATCTTTGTGCCGACTGTCGTGTTAGCTTGGACAAATGGCTTCGTGGCTTCGATATCGTCAACGACGGGGCTGTGTCAGTTGACCTAGCTTGGGACTCTTCGCATTTACTGAGATCCTGAGTGAGCATCCTATTCAGGATCGAAAAGTTTAGAGCCGGTGAGGTGCGAAACTCTAAGCTTCTCTTGCATATGATGCTCTCTCGGCGTTTTACTCTGCATGGTTTGCTATTGAATGCCGTGCGAGAGAGGGAGGGTTGTTTGATTCAGATTTGGTTAGCGACTAGTTGGGCGTAAAGCACAACATCCGGGCAAGAGCAGTTCGGACTTACGAACGGTCAGCATACTTGACAACGGTATGACTTGCAGTTGTTCACATACCTATCTCCAAAGAGCCGCAAAGGTGGGTCCTGTCTTTGCAGCCATACCTCAAATTGAAGAAACTCTCTGCAAAGCTGCGAGATTGTCAATGTTGTTTTGTCCCGAGCATTGTGTCAGGTTGCGGACGGCACTGTTGGCCACATGGTCGCTGGGCTGCTTCGGAAATCATGTATTCAGTGGCTGAGCAACCTCAGATGGAACAGAAGAAAACCGCGGTCCGACAACGCAGCTCAGTACAGGCGGAGGCAGGCTTTAATTGCAGGCTGGACTGTGTTGCCAAGCCCTAAACTGCGGCCCGCAACAGGGGTTCTTTGTGAAGCCGCTGACGTTTGGCAACAAAGGTTTACCGACCACTTCGCAGCTGCCCGGGCAAAGATGCCCTTTGCCTTCGTCGTTTGGGGATTTTTGTTTGCTTCCTGTGTTTCGGAGTTTATACACTTTACAAGCCCCAACCCTTGCTAAATCCGAAATTCTCAAATCAGACTGTCGTGAGAGACCTTGCCAGGCTTGTTTGTCCATGAGCTACAGAGAACCCAAAAGCCCTAAACCTTCGAGCTCAGTGGACCCAGTGCCTGAAGCCATGCCTGCCTTGTGCGAGTGTGTGAGTCGAAACCCTGGAAACCCTATGCCCTAAAGGGAACTCCAGAAAGTTGGAATATGGTTTCAGGGTAGGATACCTCATAATTTACCATAAAGGGTTTAGGATAACCATATTCCAACTTTCTGGCTTTCACCCAATGCCTCCGAGAGTCGGGCTTGGGAGCTCACGAACCCTGAAGGCACCGGGGATGCAGGAAGTCCGAGGCCCAAACCCCCGACGGCCTTGAAACTTACGAACCTCTTGGAAACTGTAGGGAATCCTTGCAAAGTCATCATCAAAAGCCTTGTGAAACTAGGCCTTTTGGACATCTCAGAACTACAGGCTATGCATTTTGCGACTAATTCTGGGCAGCCACTTCTCGTAAGACTACTTTGCAACTAAAGTCTCGAATTCTAGAACTTTTGAGGTAGACCGCATTGTATCAAAAGGCGGGATGGCTAGAGGTCCCGCTTCTGCAGAAGTTGCTTTGCCGCCTTCGCGGCTCAGATGGCGAGGCGGCTGCCCTCATGGTCCAAGCGACTCAACAGCCGGTGGGGTGGGGCTAAAAAGTATTTACAAAGTTCGATAAGTTCAGGGCTTATAGTGTGGTTCTTGCAAAGGCTTGAATATCCAAAGGACTCGGCGATTTAGGAAAGTACCTCATTGGGTGTATCGTCGTTATTGTCGGTTGTGTGTCAGGTACTTCAAAGGATTGTTGGAGGTTCAAGTATGAGATCGGTGCGGCGGCTCTTATTGCGACGACCTCGAACCCCTATGACTATGAAGACACCTCTTGTCAAGCCTATCACTCCGCCTAATAACGACGAAGAGTCGAAACCCCGAAAACGCCGGTCCGATGGACAGGGCCTCTTTCCTCAGAGCCTCTTTGCTGCCTCGGAGCTTGTGCGTCTGGCTGAGGATGGGCCCAAACATACGTTGTGTTTCAACGGGTTCCTTTCCAGTTGTCTATAGAGAGGTTCTATAAGGTTTCACAGGGGTTACGGGGGTTCGGGGTCCAGGATTGTTCCAAAGTGCTCTCGGGAATTCCAAGCAAGAGCCAACAATAGAAGAGATTGCCGTCATCCGACATTTGGGAGTCTTGGGGTTTCAGGATTTAGCACTGGCGTGTTAGGGCTTCCTGTGCTGCAGAAGTCCTATCAGATTTAGGGCCCTACAACCCTCAAAGAACCTGAGGGTTCGTTCTGTCCATCACGGGCACATACAAACATCGCGGGGCTTACAGGGACCCGAATCACGGCTTCAGCTTTTAGGGTTAACCTCCCATCTGCCTCCTCCGGAGGATTTGGCCCACCTGGAGCTTCACAGCGATGAGGCCAGTGAACCCAAGACCCATGTAACCGAGCTCCTTCAAACCTGCTGAGGAGGACGACGACGGGAACTAGTCTACAAACTCAGCATTTTGTTAACTCCGTTCGCTGCTCCTGAAGTCTTGGGTGCCGGGGTAGTGCAACTCAGAAAGATGTTCCCTGTGCTGAGGCTTCTAGAACATGATGATCCCTGAACCGCAGACAGCATGAGCACCTGCGGGACACATGGACGTTTGTGCCTGCGGTGGGTGGCTGGAGAGACTACCAAAGACGCCAGGATCACGTCTCCGAAACCCGAAAAGTGTATTTGCTGAAGTATCCAGTCATGAGATACTTGGGTTTGCGATAATAGCACGCTCGTAGGAATGTACGGTTTTTGCACTGTCATTCTATGAGGCACCTATAATTGTGATGACGTCCCCAAACCCGGGGCACCCCTTTGCTCACCAGGCATGCTCTTATTCGAACTTCCCTGGCTTGCCTGAGAGGGCGTGCCGAAAATCCTCAGCTACGCAAGAAGCCCAAGGTTTGACAGATACAGATAGGACTCCACGTGCAAACTGTTTGCTATCATGTCCCTCATCTTATCGAAGGATGCCCTGTATGAGCCCGAAAGCTTGGACCCCAAAGGACCCTCAAAAGTGAGACAGGAAGCCTTGAAATCCTTGGGGCGGGCGCTTCTCTTGCGGAGGAGGGGCCTGGTGGTTTGACGATTGCAGGGCTTATGCCTTACCCATAGGCCCCATAGTAGTTCCTTTTTGGGATTACCTTATGGGATTCTATATATGAACCCCCAAAAGGAACTTCTTTGGGGCCTTTGGGTAGGGCTCTTGCCACAATGATTCAAAAACATTGAGATAAATGTAAATACCGGCTTATCTTGGCTTCCGATAGTGTGCTTTTGGAAGAGCGCATGATCTTTACATACTCAGGTCCTGGGGGCATTTGGCTGTTCATCTGGACTGTTAGCGGGCTTAGCCTTGAACATGTGACAACCGCATGTGATGTTGATGATTCCTTTTTTCGCTCTGGTGTTTGTTAGGCTTGGTTTTGCTTGGTGTGTGTGTGTGTGGTTTGATGCTTCCGGGCGTGAGGTCACTTGGAGGTTAGCCTTTGTCCATAGGCTTGGATGTGAAGTTCTTGACATCCAAGCTTCGTAGAGTCGTAGAGGACAGGGCTGAGACTTTTTCGAAGTCTACATCACATAAGCATGAGAACTGTCAATAAGAGTACACCGTTTCCGTTGCTATTCTACCACAATACGGCCAAACACCATGGTCTGATTGTTAAGGCTCTTTCGAATAAGCCACATGATATATCTTTTTGGCTCAGCCTTTCCGGCCCGAACGCCCAGAACGTCCCAATCGCCGCCGCTGCCTTTCGAAGCCATGGCCGTCGCACGAGGTCGCACCGCTCGCGCTGCCCTGCTCTTGGCACCTTTGCTCTCGAATCCCAGAGTGGGGTGTTATTGGGTTTAACTGTAGGTTGCTGGCTTGTAGAATACTGTATCATCTATTTTATACATAGACGAGGCAAAATGGGGGGTTTCATTGGGCTTATATCTGGGTCATCCCATCATGTAAGGAATTGGGCTTCCAGGCTGGACCGCCAGTTCGAAACCCTACACGTCAGCCCTGAATCCCCAATCCCTTTGCCAGCCCCAACCTTGAGGCTTGAAATCGTTATCCAGGAGTTTTCACCACGAGCACACAATGCACCGCATGTTGGAACCCCTCATAATCTGCAGGAAGCCCCAAGGTTGCGTATGCCTGTGTGTACGAACGCATGTATGTATGTATGTATGTATGTATGTATGTGCCAGTCGATGCCTGGACTCGCCCGGAATTCAAACTTGCATGCCGATGTATGGATGCATCCATGTATGCATTGACGAACGGACGGACGGATGGATGGACGGACGCATGTGTGTGTGTGTACATACATGGAACGCATTGCAATGCAGTGTAGCACGGCGCAATGCATTGTATAATACTTTATCATTCAGCAGACGCATCCACCCCGGCATCCATGCATTCATCGATCCATCCAAGTGTGAGATTATCCATTGCATTCCGCGGTACTACTTTGCATGGTGTGTCCTTTCCATTTTGTATCAATATATGTACCATGTTCTAAACTCATTGTTACACGACTACATTACATGAGATAACCGACATTTGCATCTACATTACAATACCGTGCAACAGTTCGCATTACATAACACTGCGTTGCATTGCAATTCGCTGCACTACACATTGTGTTACGTTGACTTGCATAGCACTGAACTGATGTCCTGAAGCTGCTGCATAAACCCGAGAGCCCACCATGTGCCTACATGGTTCAACAAATGGTCGCAATCACTCAAAGGCCCTCTGACCCTGAAGCCTTGTCTCCAAAGTAGAAACTCACATATATTGTAATATACTGTAATATACATACCATAATCTACAATAGAATGTAAGACTCTGAGATAGCATTCTAAGAGCGATGTTCAGGCTCTCGTTGTGCCTGCCACGCTGTGCTTCACCGGCGCCTTCGCCCCGGCGGTGGAGAGCCGAACAGCCAGGCAGGCCGAAGCCGCAGCCGCGAGCGGCAGCGGCTCGTCCGTGGCTCTGGTGAAGGCCCGGGAGGGCCTGAACTGAAGAACGGTTTTTTTCTAGGTTTTCTACGGACCTCTTGTTTGGGGTATTCTAGTAGGGATGCACGGTACTTCCCCAATGCATTCATGAAGGAAGGCACGCTTAATCCTCAATGACGGACTTTGGGGGTTTCTGGGGCCCCACGAATCCCTTGGCCTCCACTTGCTGGGTCGAGGTCAAGGCTCTAGGATGAGGGTGACAGGTAATTACTACGGTTGAGGGTTTGGGATCTCGAAGTTTCATTCATGCCGGCCTCAACACATGGCTCAACAAGGGCTTGGCTTGGGGCTTCAGAAGCCCCCAGAAGCCAAACATCCTAACTTCTGCAGACCTTGCCAGTCTTGTCCCAGAGTGAGTGTCAAAAAATCTCCGAGCATTGGATATCAACTTTAAACACAACGCATTTTCACTGTCGTGGGTCACCGTCGGCATCCCGTGGGCCACAAAAGCATTGCAAAGCCTTATCAACGACAGCAGTCGAAGCACCAAAGACTTTCAACATCGCAAAGACATCCGTCTTCACCAAAACTTTCAATCAGGTGACCAAGGAGAACACTCTCGCGACCGCCGGCGTCCTTGGAGGTCTCTCCATGGGAGTCTTATATAGGGTTCAAGAATTTAGGTTTAGGGCTTGGGTTGTGGTCGCAAAGTGTTTAGGACTTTCTGGAAAGCTTTCAAGTTCGTGGGGCTCTTCAGCGGCCTTATTGGGTCTTGGGACGCTAGACACCCATCCCTACAGCCCAAGACCAAGAGAGGTGTGGCTGGTCTCCTCCTTGGCGGCTTTTGGGTGGGTGCCGCCGGCTTTGTGGCCACGTCCTACCTTGCGAAGAAGGAGAGCGTCGGTGCCGTTGATTGTTCGACTTTTTTGTGGGGTCTGGCGACTTAGGTTTGCTATTGTCTCGAAGACCGTCGAATTGAGGATTACTGGTTGTTTGTCAAGTTTGTCAAGAGTCTAGTGAGTTTGTTCAGGGTGGGTTGCTTTGTAGGAGTCAAGGCGTTGTGACTTGGGGATTAGGCCTGAGGGTGTCTTCGCTTGTTTTGGATGTGTCGTTTATGAGAAGACCGAGCTGAACGGATTTAGGGTTTCCCAAGTCTAAACTCGGAGGTCACTTGGAGTGCCTTCTTCTGGCCTTTGTCGTTCTCTCCTTGGTCAGTGGCTGTTTGGGGCTTGTTTGGGTTTAAACTTAAGATTTGGAGTTGTGGGTTCAGAGTTCATTTTGGAGGTTTCGGGTTTGGAGTTTCGGTTTTCTCGGTTAGGAGAAGTTAGCTTGGGGTTAGAAGACCTTCAGCCAAACATAAGACAGGCCCCAACTACATCGACTTAGACCATGCTTCGCATCACCCCCCCCCCCCCCATGCGCTATTTGCTTACAGTATGCGTAGGAAGTCTTCATGCAGAAAACCTCTGTCGTGGTCACTGTTGGTGGGTGGGGGGGCCCTTATGCCAATCGTGCTGCAATGCAACTGCACTGCACCCAGCCAAGTCCCTCCATGCAATCCCGCGACTCAATTGTCAAGAGCCCCGAACTCTACACTCTACCCAAGACTCTGTGCGAGACCAGTGAATCCCTGCGAGACTGTACTATACACATTGAAAAGTTGAATATGATCCGCAGGAGGATTCCGATGTCGCTTCCGTGCTGAAGCTCGCCCAAGAAGATTGTTTCCGTTGAGCTAAAGGTCAGGGATGACGGAGTCTGGGGTCTCAGCGGTTTGTCGGTTAAGTGTTAGAAGAGAACGTGCCGTGTCATCGAGCAAGACAGTGATGGCAGCAGATGAAGCCGAAACGCCACACTTCTCGGATGGTTTTCCACTGGCATCCTAAACCCCACTTGATGGACAGGCAGGCTCTGAGACATACTCATATAGACTTGCATGTATAAAATTTTAAGACAGTTGAGTACGTATGTGTGTAGTGTCGTAGTGGTTGTGATGTCAGAGCCTTCGCCCGCCCACCCAATGTCGAGTTACCGAGGAAGGGCGTGTCCAGCGCATCTCTCGAGGCTGTGAATTTTGTGGACTACCTTAACTCCAAGCATCATGGCGTTCACTAGCATCCTGTATCGCTGACTTAATAGGGTTTCTAGGGCATAAGGCTGTTGATACGATGGGGCTTCTGGGCCTGGGTGCTTTCAGGCGTATGGGGCTTGCGTTTGTGGGTTTCGGGTTTGGGATTAAGATTTTGGGTCCCTATAACCCTGAACTCCCCAAAACTAAACCCCAAGCCCACAGCTTGAAAGCTTGACCTTCACGAACGCCATGCTTGTGGCCAACCCCCACGGGATTTGCAGCTAGGTGCGAGTAAGCGCAAGTCGCACCGTGAGGTGTGGATGGTCAAGGGACCATCCCCGTTATTAGTAGCAGACCGCAACCAGCCAATCCTAAACCTTCAACACCTTGAACCCTGACGCCCGACTCCCACAAAGCCCACAAAGCGAAATTGAGCCAAAACAAAAGCCAAAAGCGTGTGTGTGCACATGCATGCTTGACAGAATGTATTAAATTTAAATACGTACAACTACAAAAGCTTCCTATCATCACTAGTAGTAAGGCACATAAATACACCTCAATCTCAATAAGTGCCGACAAAGGTGCCGACAAGAGTCGATTGCTATCAGAACAGTTGATGTAGCAATGACAACCGGACAGGTAGTCATAGCAGCGCAAGAACAAACTCAGCCAAGGTATGACGTGACTTCCAAGGTGGGCACTGCCCTGACCGATGCGTTGGACAAGTCCGATGGTGAGACCTCCTCCTCAGCGACTGGGTTCTTGTTGAGGAATACATTTTAAGTTACCAAAAGAACGATCTGCAGGAAACAATTTGGCTTCCTTATTATGGCAACTGAAATTATATAACTTCCTTAACAAGAACCCAGGTGAAGTCTTCCTTGGACTCGGTGGGCGATGCCATCACTAGCTTCGACAAGGACAGCTGCCCCATCCCCCAACCCATTTTCGACCCGAAAGCCTACAATCCTAAGCTTCAAAGAACTAGCCTCAGGAGTCCAGAAAGGCCCACAGCATTTTCGGATTTAGTGTTGAGCCCACGGCGATGCCAGCAAGCCATGCCCATTTTTGAGCCGAGGTTCCTTTCTTCTTTGCTTTTGTATGGATGTTGTCATCGAACCCCAGCCCTAATTCCTGAGAGGTTCGTGGTAATAGAGCAAACTTATGCAAACTTCGAAATGAGTCCGAGGGCTTGGGGTTGCTTTATACCCGACCCGACCCTGACCCCTGACTGAAAGTCGGAACTTGCAAGTCTAAATCACATTGGGCTTAGGAATTGTCTGCAGCTGATACTTTTGGTTGAGTGGAACCCAAAAATTCAGGGGTTCGTTTAGATAGAATGACAAATCAGCAGGCACAGTCATGAGCTCTGAAGCCCGTTTCCAAGGACCGTAAATCCCAAACCCTACACCCTGCACACCAGACTCTGAACCATGAACCCTAACACCCGAAAACTTAAACCCTGCACCATAAACTCTGAACCCGAAACCCTTCCTAAACCTCATACGCCTTGAGCCCGGTATTCAGGACGCACACCATAAACTGTTAACTCTAAACCCTTACTAAATACCCTGTACGCCTTAAACCAGGACGTTGGCATCAAGGATACCGTCGGCTCCTTGATCCTTTCCGGCACGGACCTTGCCAGCCAGCTGGCCACCAAGGCTCGGAACCGGGAGAGGGTGGGGGTGTCCCTTCGGGTTCCCTCAGAGGGTCATGAGGGTCCTTGAAAGGGTTCCCTAAACCCACACACCTACTTTAAGGGTCCGATAGAGAGGTTAGGGTCTAGGCTTGAGGATCCTGGCTCTGGGATTAAGTCTAGGGTGCTGGGCTTAAAAAGGATGAAGGGCTTAGACTAGGTCTGCGTAGATCTTGTAACAAGTTATCCGGCTTTTATAAACTCTGCTGGTGGTCGTGGTCGTCTCGGTCGTTGCGATCAGTGCCTTCATATCATGCGGGTAGTGTCGTATGGTGCCGTACTATTCTGGTGGACTGGAATGAGACCCTAGGTTGGAAAACTACCCATATACAAATACACATGTACACATGATACACATTTTGAGAGCGCGTGCATATGTTGATAACCCTAAACCCTAAACGACTGGCTGCCAGTTTGTAGCACCGACCGTCAAAGTACACAGCACCAGAGACCTCGTCAGGCTTGTCCGAGTTGCGTGAGCGCAAACCCTAAACTCTTTGTCTTGAAAAGCAGGTGGTGGAGCTGAACGATCAGTACAAGGTCACCGACCAGCTCAAGGCGAAGAAGCTTGCCTCACTTTCAGAGACCAGAACGCTACACGGAGTGTTCAGGGTCAGGGCTTAAGCTTACCTTTGATTAGTAGGGAATGGAAGAATGGTAGTAATAGTAGCTATAATTATACCCCATTCCTCCATTTCCTACTAACCAGAGCTAAGTAAGGTAAACCGTGATCCCAAACTTCAAGCCTGCGAATAAGAATAGCAAGTTCAGAACAAGCAGCTTGACTGACTACTCAATTTCAATGCTTGAGGGAGTGCGACTATATATATATATATATATATATATAGTACGCTTACATCTGTGTATAACGGCCCGTAGACCCTTAACCTTAGACCCTAAACCCTAAACCCCTAAACCCTAAACCTTGCAACCTCAAACCCCAAACCATTCAAGGAACCCCCACCAGACCCGAGGATCGATGAGTCCCTGGAGAGCTCCAAGACCAGCTGAGAGCTTCCCCGAATCTTTAGCGCCTCGCGTTCAGCCGGGCCGATCTCGGGCTTTTGGCGTTTTTGGGGCTTTGGGTTTAGGGTTTAGGGGTTTAGGGTTTGGGGCTTTGGGATTTACTCTGGGGTTACCTTGGGTTTTGAGGCTTTGGGGGTCTGATTCTGTGGAGGATGGATGATATGCCGGACCACCGGCAGAAGGTCTTTTATGGTTACGAGTGTAGTTTCAATGTAGGTCTGCGGCTTCATGTCTCAAGGTGTATTTCCAGGGTTTTCTAAGGCGTCGCTGTGCTTGTTATGAGTTTAGGCCCTGGGGCTAGGGTTTACTGTCTCAGGGGTCCTGACGGCACGAATCTGTTTCCCACAAGCTAGGTTTAGGACTTTGGTTGAGGCCCGGCTGATGCGGGCGACGGCGAGCTGCGCACAAGGGCCACACCCTGTAAGCCCTAAGCCTTGAACCCCTGGAGCCCCTCATCCATATAAGGCCTAAATAAACGCTTCGGCGTGGATCGCTATCGCTGAGGCCCCAGGAGCTTGCCGCCCATTTCGCCTGTCAAACTTAGTTGCGTAGAGTCCAAGAGGCAGCCTGGCATGTGGGTTTAGGGAGTTTAGGGTTTTAGGATTAAGCATGTAGGGCGTTCGGCCACGAAAGCTGAAGCTTCGAGGTGAGGCAGGCACGATGCCATGTGCACTGTAGCCTCTTTATCCAAAGGTTGGGGGTTGAATCCTTCGTTAGGCGGGTCAGGCATAGGATCGCCGAGCTGGCTGTTCGCAAGCTACGCATCTATGCACACAATGCGGCCATGTGGTTGATAGATATTGTGAAAAGCAGCCAGCAAGACATACAGTATTGGCGTAAACCCGATGCGACGTGAGCATCTGTACAGGGATTGAACTCCGTGTGCATCGTGCATCAGTAGTACGAGGGACCTTGTGCATGAATCTAGACTTTGACATTAGTACCTGCCTTTGGTTATGCCAGCCTCTTTTTCTTCGAAATCGATTGATGTACAAACCTATAAGGTGCCTGGCGAAGCTGGGGTAAAGTGCCTTTCCGCAGACTTGGCAGTAGGTGCTTGCTTCTGACTGCCTTAAACCCCAGCCCCTCACCCCCTAAACCCGTCAGCCACCCTCCAAATAATGGGCCCCAAATCCCTCTTCTAATTATTCAGGCCCCTACATTAGGACCTTCTTTGGGGGGTTCCTTATTCTATAAAAAGTCAACATAAGGCTGCAGCCCAAGAGCTGCACTTTCTTGCCCCAGGCCCCGGGTTTTTGGAGTTTTGCAGGCCGCTAAAGGTGCGACGGTAGGTCCGTTATCAAACACTACATAGTTGCCTGGAGCATAGAGCAATATGGAGCTGGTAATCTGTCTTTGTCTCTGGATTTTTGTGGTGTAGATAGGGTTTCGAATATAAGTAGAGGAACATCAGGTCAGTTGTAAGTTAGGCACTCTTTTTAAGACCTAGACCGTAAACAACCTAAACTCTGTGACTACAGAAGACCTCAACGAAAGCCAAGTCAATTCTGCAAAGTATGACTAGACTCCACAGCGGCGGTCTGATTGCAAGTGTCTGCAGCACGTTTTGAACCACTCCGCACAGAGCGGGAAAAAGCTGAGAGTCCGGCGGTCAGGATTCAGAAGCTTACAGGCTGAGGGGTTGGGTTCTTAAGGCAATGGGTGTGGGGATCTATCTACTGTCAGGAGGCAGATGACGGAAATACATTCTGTGTTGGAGCACGACATAGCAACTGTCATCGACCAGGTTCATCGACCAGGTTCCTTCCCCAATCATCTCAATTTGGTTGGGCCCGGATTCAGCTTAGAATAGTTGTAAGACCTCTATATAGATGACGTCCAGATTCATAGACCCGAACCCAAACAACCCCTTGCAGACCCCCCCTGGATGGAAAGGAATGAGCTTCACGGCAGCTCTCGCGCTATAAAACCTTAAGCCGCCCTGAACCCAGTTCCTGGCAACCTTAACCCTAAATCCCAACCCTAACCCCAACCCCAAGCTTTCATTGTGGGAATTCTCCGAGCTCACCCTGCTGTGTAGCATCGACCCCATTTGGTTCGGCATTTTGGGGAACTATCGCAGATGACAGCACATTATGGCATAGCACAGTGTATCATGATGTAACAGACTCACAGTATGTTATAGCAGTGTAGTATGTCTTGTAGTACACTTATCATAGTAGAATAGAGATTGCTGAGCCAACATCTCCTCCAGGCCAGAGCTACACAGCTCGGAACTCCAGCTTGCTAGAGGCAGGGCATTTCCTAGGTGTTCCGACGGATTCATGTTTCATGTTGTGTCATAGTATAAACCCGACGGTTTATTCCACGGGTTTTACAGGTCAGGGTGCTTGTAGTTCCTGGTGCTGCGGAATTCCGCATATGCCTGGCTCTTTTTGCAGTGGCCTCAAGCCAGAAAAGCAAGTCTTGACAGGTCAGCTTATGAAGCGTTTACTGGATGCTGAAGCCAAACATTTAAGGCACAGGAATCCTAGTTCTGTAAGCTTGCAAACTTTGCTCCAGCATGTATTGATTCTCAGATCTCAATCCGTGCCAGATGCATCCGACTCGAAAGTTCGGGCCTCGAGGGTTTAGAATTCTGTTTCCTCCCCCAGTCGAAGAATGGAATCTGCAAGATGCCCCTTTACACACTTCTGCGTTGGAAATCAATTTTTGGGGCTTCCATGCGGGCTTCCATGTTAGTCCGTAACGGCACAAGGCATAGGCTCTTCTAGCGAACCATGCGGTGGTTGGGAGCACGGATGTCCTGAGGTTGCCATGTATGCCGTCCTGTGGACAACTTCGACGTTGATTCATGAAACCGTTTCTGTTGGTAACCGAGCTCATGGTACGAGTGTGCTGAAACAGAATAGGTTAGTCAGGACCATGAACGACTGTGCATGTGGGTGGTTGTTTTCTGCTTGGTTTTGGCGTGTCACCTGCCTCAGTAAATCCTCGTAGACGCTACCCACAGCACGTCAGCATACCTTGGACTGCTACAACTTACCTTGGTTCAGGTCTTGTTTGTTTTGCTGCATTTTGGTGTTAGATAATGTCGTCATCCTACCAAGATGCAGGATCTTGTAGTGACTGTAGTGTAAGGTAGCCCGTGCAACGAGGAGCTTTTGCCATGCTGGGCCTCCCGCTTCAGCAAGTGCTTCTTGCCTGGGAGAGCCGAAAATAGATCACGCAGTAGTAAAGCCGGGGGGCGGGCAGCCTTATGTTGGGGTCCTTGTAGCTACGGTTATTTTCAGGCCTTCTCGAATGGGATGTGAGCTACTTGCCTCTCACCATGTAGCCGAAGCCTTAAACCAACAATCGTTACTCCTAGTAACCTAGAACACTCTCGTACCATGCCACGTCCCTGTGCGGGTTTTAGCATTTTGTTAACCTGAAAGCAGTGGCGGGTTCGCTTTACGGCAACTTGGCACCACATCTAGGGACTCCTTCGGGTTAGTCTGGCTCCAGGCTTCCTCCCCAACGCCCGGGCGGTAAAACCCAAAAGCAGGCAACAACAAGTAAACTGTAGAAGCTCAGGTGGGCATCAGTCGGTGCCAAGCAGATGAAGCGTGGAGGGGCCGTGGTGACGAAGCAGGCGGCGCTGGATTTCAAACAATGTTTAAACCGTGGTCAGGGCTTTAGCTGGGCTCTCTGGTTCCGGGGTTGTGGCTTCCTCATGGCTCAATAGTAATCAGGGATTGCCACGTCCTACTCGAAGTGTTGAAACACAGCTTGGTGCATACAGGGCTCAGTTCCTGACACTTAGAAATTCCCATGCATCTGTTGTGTGACGTTGTGTGCAAAGTACGGTCTGTCTAGTTTATGAAGCTTATATGCTTAAGCTTATATCCTTTCGGCCTATAAAGCCCGCAAGACCTTCGATGCAGCGCAGGCCTTCGCGCCCGTCCTCACGTCGCCACTGTGCTAAACTTCGCAGAAGGTTTGAAGTACATGGTTTGGTTTGGGGTTCAGGGGTTCGGGATGTTAGGGTCGGCAGCATCTATAGGCCTCGCCACGGCTTTGATTGTAGGCTTTTGCAGGCTTACCTAGTGGCCCAGGGTGCGGGACCTTCATGAATGGCTGTCCTGAGTCCGAGTTAGTATCTGTGCGCGTGTGTGCGAGTCGAAACCCCTAAGACCCTAAACCCTGAAACTCCGAGTTGCGAGAGAGTAAACCCTGAAACTGGTTGTCGAGGAAACGCCAGAAGGTCGAAGCCGACATTGAGGCCTCTGGCACGAGGATTTTTTGGCTCTGGGTTTAGGATGTAGGGGTTTTGGTTGGTTTAGGGTTAGGGTAGGATCCCAGCTCAATGCTGAAAATGTGATAGGATCGGCAGAGTAGCATTTCATTGCCCGCTTTTTGAGCATCCAGGGTACATACTGTATAATAGTATGACACCTGCCGTGCCAGGTGCCCTCGCCTCCTCCCTCGCCGGAATCGCTGCCGCTTCGATGACATGGGGAAAAAGATCTTTGGCCTCCGAAGTCATCGGTTACTCTCAAGCTCAAGACAAGAGAGCCCAATAGACGTACAAGGTACTTCTGGTCTACCCATAGGCCCCAAAGTAGTTCCTTTTGGGGATTACCTCCAAGGATTTTTTATATGAGCCCCCAAAAACGAACTACTTTGGAGCCTTAGGGTAAGCCCACAAAACTCCAAATATCAGGCCTCAGTCTAGTGAAAAACCTCCAACCAACACATCTCGGCAGGCCCGAAGCCCTCTACATAAGCCCTAAACAAGCCCTATATAGAATCTAAACCCTAAGACAGGCCTCTAAAGCCTACTGAACCCTAAGGGCAGGAAGCCCTAAACTCGGAATCGAGCTGCCGAACTTCATTTGCTCTCTGAACCGGCTTGGATGCTTTAGCGCTGAAAGTCTTACCAGAGCGCTGGACCGTGGGGCGCACAAGCGATGAGGGTATGGCTGAGGGCTACCTTAACCTACCAAAGCCTACTTTTTTGTAGGGTCCCTATAAATCCCATATTAGGGTTTATGATAAGAACCTACAAAAAAGTAGGGTGTGGTAGGTTAAGGTAGACGATGTGGGAGGACTGCAAGCCTCGACTGAGTGGTTCTGTTGGAACTCGCGTAAGGACTTAAAGCATAGGAGCTGTACCGTTCCTACACTCTATACCGGAAAGCAACACTTCCATGGGCTTGAGGCTTGGAGACTCGAACGTCGAATATGACGGGAACTGGTTGTCATATATTGCTATATGTATTGCAGGATGTTGGTACGTTCAGCTTGGGCCGGTCCAGCCACAGATATTTGCAACGAAGCCAGTGGTGACGCATGGCAATATTGGCGACTGCATGGTGCCTTGACTGAATGCCGGCGCTTTTCGTGCTTGGCGCGGCCGGGGCCTCAGTAATTGGAGGCATGTGTTGGTAGAGCGTGGTGTTATAGGATGGTGCAGATCAGTGCCTGAAGACACAAGTACCTCGCAGACTGTTCCCAGGAGGAGGTAAATGACTAGGGTAGCAGCCCCAACCTCAGCCAGCACGTCAATTCATCGTTTACGTATGGCGCCAAGACTTTTTTTTTTTTGGGGGGGGGTGGGTTGTGTAATTAGGGCCAAGCCTTTCATGCAGCCCCAAGCCCTACAGATTACGACTCACTGTCGACTGACCTTACCAGTTCCAAAACAGCAACATAGTATGGCATGTATGGCCCTCAAAGCCTTGAGCCACCTCAAAGGTCGAACCTTCCGAAACCCGGGAGCTCACAAAATCCAAAGCCTGGAATCTTTCTTCAGCGTTGCACATCGCAACTTGCGCAGCCAGATCGGGAGCGTTCATGTTTTGGGTCTTATGAGGCTTCACGGCCCATGGGCAACTTAGAGCTTGCACTGCTGTGGTCGAGCCTTAACCTTCGTTATAGACCTTAGACATGAAACCTATAGGCCCTTAACTTGCAACCCTACACTCTGCGAGAGGTTAATAGTGCTCAAAGACTGACTCAAGGGCGGCACGCCGCCCGAAGGTCAGCGTCAGCCGGAGCTTTCCTGGGCCGGCGAGGCCCAACGCCGCGCGGCTGCGTGGCCCCAGACGAGGCATCCCTCGGGTTTGAGGGTTTCGAGTTCTGGTTGATTGAGGGTTCTTACTGTAAGGGTTACGATTTGACGGCTTTAAGGCTTTGGGTTTGATCGTGTTTGATCCAGTCAGTTTAGTGAGTTTTATACGGGTTCTCCGAGACTCTCTAGTGTTTCAGAAAACAAGGGTTCTAAACGGGTTTAGCGGCGCGCCTGGCAGGGTTGGCAGTATGATGCAGTATGTATGGGCCGAGATTGCTTCGGGATGTAGAACGAGTTATATGCACCCTAACTAAGCCCCATATACACTTCAATGGGACCTGCGAACTGAGGACGCGAAGGATTGGGCTCGTCCGATGGTCAGGTAGGGTTCGCTTGAAGGGCAGTGCGGTGTGGGGACGGGGAATGTGTACCACTGCGGTTTAGGTCCAGGATTGCATATTAGGCACTTGGGTTTCGATTAATTAGTAATGATTTAGGTTTAAAAGTGCTGGAACTAGGCACTGAGATCCTTAGCATCAGAGAGTAGGACTGGGCCCAGTAAGGCCTAAACCTCGGCAATATATCCAGTTGTTTTAAAGTCTTCGGAGCCAGGATCTGATTTCATTGCTTGATATTTAGTGTTTGAGCTTTACGGGAGACCCGAGCGACCCGAGCAAGTAATACAGAGGTTTGAACAACGAGTCGGGCTGTCCCTTCTTGTCCAGAACCGTGTTTCAACTCTCCAAATCTCACTCAGTCTAGTGTTGAAAGACTCTGTACTCACTACTGCAGCGCACGGTTTATGGCTTCTGATTCAGCAAGTGCCATCGCGCTTACGTGTTTTGTTTTGTATGTTCGATCTTTTTGCACGGCTTGGCATACTGGCCCAATTAATTCAGTGTTCTAGTTTAGATCCACCACAAAGCCCGAAACTCGAAAGCTGTAAATCCTATCCTTGAGCTGCCGTCGACAGGAGCAGCAGCTTCCGAAGATTTTTCGCAGTTTCTAGACAGCTTTGCGGAGAGCAGTGAAGAGGCCTCGGATACTCAATTCTCCGAGGGTTTCAAAACTCGGGGTCTGTAACGGTTCTTTGCCAGGCTTCGAATTGCAAGATACGGTTATCTAGCAGCAGGTGGTGCCATCCAGGGTTGAGATTGTGCTTCACACTTCATGATTCCACACCCACCAGGCTTCAGATTGGTTTCTCCGTGCCTTAGACCGAAGCTGGAAGCCCCAGAGCCCGAACCCCTCAATGCGAACCCCGGAGGTTTCAGAAAACTGAAAGTTTTTTTTGCTTGTGTCATCATGATGAGGACCTATTGCTTGAGGTCTCGTTGGAGCCCTAAACACTTAACCCTACGGGTATTGTGCTATCTGGAACACTACTCGAATCTCTGAAGAATAAGTCCATACATAACCGGATAAGATCAAAACCGCTTTTCCTGGAACTCTCAGACGGTAGGTAACCCCCTATACGGGGCCCAAGCTCCGGTGGAAGATCCACCCCGCAATGCCGAAGGCCTGAGTCTCAAACTCGACAAGCCTCTAGCCAGGCGGGAGGCAACAAAAAACTCGACAAGCCCCCAATTCGAAGGTGCAGGGCACTTTGAGAAGTTTTCGGGTTCTCTACGCCCTAAACCCAACACTGTTTTAGTTGTTGTTGAGGGTGGCGGGGTGTTGCAGGTGCCTTGCCTGGGCCGTCGAGTTCGGCTCGTGGCAGCCAACGGACCCTGCTCGGTAAAGGTTTGGGGATTTGGGAGGCCTGAGACGGAAGATCGAATAACCCAAAGGGTCCAAGTACCATTTTATAGTAGGTAGGTACTTAGTACCCTAAAGTATATACTATATGGTGACTTGGACCCTTTGGGTAACTTGGTGTTGCTGTTGCCTTGGATACCTGCGAATGCTGCCTGTTTTCAGCTAATTCCGAAGACTCACGCTGCCGATGCTGCTATTTCTGGTGGGGCGCTGGGGTAGGGAGGTCGTGGTGAGGGCGGTCGCGATGGAGAAAGCGTAAGGAGAAAGTTGAAGTGATCACAGTCTTTTCAGGATGTGCGACGAAGGCCCTATTGCCCGCATAGCTTGTTAAGCCATTGGTCGAGCTTTTATGGCCACGCCCTCCTACAAAGCGAGGATGTCTTCAAGAACCCTATAGGGGCTAGGGATGTCCACGATTTCAAGTTGGAGGCTTCCCCATACTATCAGTTGCGATCCTACATGACTGTAACCTACTAAACCCAAAGCCGTGAACGCAACTAACCCTATAGCATACATGACGACGAAGCTCCAAGAAGCCTCGCAGGACGGCGAGTCGGGCTTCACTGGGCTGAAAACATAGCACCATGGCTTCCCCTTACGTAGAGGTCATCAGAGAAGGGTCATGTAAAAGTACGATAGGGTTCCATGGTATGCATGGTTCCTGCAACGGTACTGTAGGGGTTGCCTTGAAGGGTAATTGACGGTAGTACGGTGTAGCCTTGTAGGGCTTTCGAGCACTGCAAGCCATGCAGGTACGAACAGGGCCTCAGCTTACGAAGTGCAGTACAGCCCGTAAGACCTAGGCCGTGTAATGGCAAACACCCCTCCGAAAGCTCTCAAAGCCGACGCCGAGTGCATCCCAAGGAGCCCCCTGAGGCCTACGAGATGACAGAGCAGTGGGAGGTGGAGCTTAGGATTTAAGATTTTATAGGTGGGGTGGGGTTTAGGCATTTTGGGGTTAGGCTTACCAAGGCCTATTTCGCGGGGTTAGAGTTTGGGAGTTTTGTGTTCCGAAATCTTGGAGTTAGGGGCATTCTAGATTTTGGCCACGTCGGCCATGTTGTTTGGGCTTGGGGATTGCAGTAATTGGGCTTGGCCTTTCGTTTCAGAGGAAGACGGCGTCATCCGCGATGGCTTCGAATCCTACACTCTCGCAAGGAAGAGCTTGGTAATGTGTCACGGCAACCAACTGAAGCTGCTCGACCCTGGCATTTTGCCTCGTCTTCCTTCGTACAGTCGTACAATACTCTGCAGTCAGGCTGCGTCTTTTTGCGCCAACGGCCGCACCAAACTTCTTGCAGAGTTCACGACTTCACAAGTGTGAGCCTGCCGTGATCACGTATTCAGGCCACCCGACATGCTCGGAACTGCTGATCTACCATAAATTTAGGCTCCGTGCGGGAGGAAAAGCCGCGGAAACACAGGCGCACTAGGCAGTTCTATCATGACGGTATTCAATGTGAGTTTACTCCAAAACCCTACGCCCTAAACCCCAAGCCCTGAGGCCTACTCAATGCAGCTTCCAAAAAAGCCCTACTGAACCGGCCATGGCGAGGCTTCTTTCGATCGGTTGGTTCATGTGTGGCCTCACTTCTGGATGGGCCGAGCCCCCGGACGGTTTCCGATTCCTGGGATTTGGGGATTGCGGGTCTCGTTGAGTGTGGGGTTTTCGACCGTTTAGGGTTGAAGTTCCGGGCTTCTGAAAGTAATGATTCTGATTGTGGCCGCAAGACTAGAGTTTGTACACCGTACCGGATCTAAGCAATATGGGCCCTATAGGCGTTCACAGTAACTTGCACCACCCCAATCCTTTAACCCTGAGCCCTCCGCTACTCCAAGTTGTTCGTGCTCCTGATACCCCAGCCTTGAGAGTATCGCCGTTAGTGTTAGGGGTCTCGGCGTTCAAGGGTTCTGGTTTCAGGTACAATCTTTCCTGCTTGACCGGAACGGCTGCCAGGGAGTAGGTAAAGTAGGCAAGGTTGGAACAAAGTTGACAGCTTCTGGGTTTTGTAAATACATGTAAATACTTAGGGCTTCCTCTAGACCTTAGAGTGATTTCCATCCCTACAATGCAGGATTTGACTTCTGTTCCCCGACACCTAGTCAGACAACAGGTTGCTTGTGCTCGGAGCTGTTCCTCGGGGTTTTGGGGTTTCTGCTTTGGGGGTCAGGGTTTTGGATGCAAGGGAAGGTGTTGCCAAGCTAGCCCCAGGGGCCAAGTAGACCCGAAGACCTTACAAGTATGCCATTGTGGATTAGCAGCCCTGACTTTTGGGTCCTTGGGCCATCAGGGCAAGTACTATACTCTCTTTTATCATGACAGAGCCTGAACGACCTCAGTCCTGCATCCAGCATGACCCAAAGCCCTGAGCCCGAATAAGTCAACAGCAACAGAAAACCATGCTGAAGCCCCCGAGGCAAAAATCGCCTCGTCCGGTCGATGATGAACGCCATTTTTGGATTTTGCGGCTTGCCTTCGAGTGCAGGCAAACAAGGGTGTAGTTGCTTTCCGGACGTTAAAGTTGAGGCGATTGCGCAGCTCATGATGCAGATAAGGACTGCAGGCTTGTATGATTTCGCGGCAAGGTTGGGATCAGGGGGACAAGCGTCCTCCTCATGACCGCAACAAGCATCTTCAAATAAGACCCCAAGCACCAGACCGCCCAGATCCCCAGACTTTGCATCCCAGACGACCGCCGGGTTTATGCGCGCAACACGAGCGCTGCTCGGCTGGCCGGCGCGGAACGCGAGGAGGGGCGCAGGTCGCCTGCCCGCTTTTTTGACCGCTTCCCGCTCAGGGACTGTTGAATTATCTATAATGGCATGGATAGGGCACGTACAAGGCCGGATTGGTAAACTTCAACCTTAGCTTAAGTCGTAAGTTCTCTTTTGCCTCATTCATCATTGATCTGCAGCAGTTATATCAATCGATGACTTACACTCGTAGACTATAACTATAAGCCTCGTATGCTTGAGAAACTCCTAGGTCTACCGACCTTTCACACCTTTAACTTAAGCCAACTCACACCTCGAAGCCCCACACTCTGAACCGAAACGCCAAAAAGGCCCCTGACCGCTGCACCCGAAGAAGCTCCTCTGGAAGGATATCTTCATTGTTGGGCCGTGTACTGCGGGCTTTGGGCTTGCTACCCTTGTTCCTATAGTACCTCCTACGGCCATCCGAAACTCCGAGAGCCCCGAGCTTCAAGCAAGGTTCATCGCAGCCCACCACTTGCTGCACCTTGTTGGCACTCGAAGGCTTTGGGATGTCACATAAACAAGCGCCCTCTTCGGAATGTGCCGTAGAAGCCTTTGCTGCGCCTTGGCCCTAACAAGGCGGTGCAGGGTTTATGCAGGGGTTCAGGGGATCAGTTTTGGGAGTTGAAAGGATTTAGGGAGCGAATCTGTGATTTCAGTCCACGCAACACATATTTTGATCAACACATGTACATATTATATAACTATATGTGTATATAAATATATATATATATATATGTGTGTGTGTGTGTGTGTATGTATATGTATATAGAGTGCAATATGGATGTGAGCGCAGAGCTACAGACTATAGACCCTAGAGGGCCCCCCCTCTGACAAGTCCGGGTTGCGAAGCATAAAGGGCCCCCATACTACCCTAAGGCCCTAAAGTAGTTCCTTTTTGGGGTTCATATTTAGAATCCCATTAGGTAATCCCAAGAAGGAACTACTTTGGGGCCTCTGGGTACACCCAGGAGCTCTTCCGCTCGCCTGCCGGGCGGTCGCCGGTCGTCGCTCCACGGCCTACGGGCCGATAACGAGGCGCTGGGATGTTTGAAGCAAGGGGTCAGAGCCGGGTTGAGGGTGCTTCAAAGGGTTCCTTTAAAGAGTTAAGGAATTGTTGCTATAAGGGTATAGGATTTAGGGGTTTAGGGTTTAGGGTGCTTCAACGGGTTCCTTTAAGGGGTTACAGTACTGATCAGGGTTTGAAGAAATGGCTAGGGCCGGGTCTATGCTTCAAAGGGTTCCCTTAGCGAAAACATGTTAGAAGGGTTACTGCACGGGCTTAGGATAAGGGTGTTCGGGATTTAGCCTGCTGAAGGCTTTGCGAGGCTTTTGGACTCAGGATGGTAGGTATGGAGCCCTTAGGTTGTTATGCAGGCTTCAGAAGGTTTTGTTTATGTGTACATTATTGCTATTCCAGTTTTTTTGAATTGGGGCTTACAGGGGCTAGAGTCTAGAGGGGTTAACAGGGTTGCGAGGCTTAGACAGCATTACACGTGCTAGCGGGTAAGGTAGTCTCCAATGTTCTCGGACAACGGGGACCCTCTGTGAAAGAAGACTTGGAAGCAGAAAGGTTAGGAACTAGTTTTTTGCAGTTATGGCAAAAAGATTCTTTGAGCCTTGGAATCTGTATAGATGCCATACGGGGTATTTGGGCATTGGGCATCCATCGCGCTCCATGTTTCTATGCAATTTGTCGGACGAGCTGCCCGGATTTTTCCAGGACCCTTAATAAAGCAAACATCCCGACTCTCAAACCCGTGGCCCAAAGAAGCCAAAACCTTGAAGCCCAAGACGCTGGACACGCCCCCCCCCCCCAGTCTTTGAGGGATTTTTCAAGAAAGCCATCAAGCTCGGCCTTTTTCCTAGGCCCTAAACCGTGAGCCTAAGGATTCCTCTCTGTCAACATGCATTCTTCACGGCTGTTATCACTGGTCTAGAGTTTATAGGGTTTTAGGATTCTCAGGGAGCCTGAAGACCTTGAAATTACCAGCAACTGTCAAGCCCCAAAAGCTTACATACGTTACTTCGCTGGTGTGCTTCCACACATGAGTTTCCGGAATTCCCGGGCCCTTGATTCTCGACGTATCTACTTATCCTAGAACGCATCGGTCAAGTCCGTAGTCTGAGCAGATTCCCAAATCCTCGGATCCACAAACCTCATCAGCACCCCATTCGCATCGCCGTCGGCATCAGCATCACCACCCCACACCTCATTGTCCTCACTACAGTTATGATGAACGATACAGGTTACGCTTTTTCTCCTAAATCCAGAACCACTGGAAGCCGAAACCCCCAAACACCATTTTTCGGTGTTTTTCGACTGATTGGAGAAGCCGTGAGTTTCAGCTCCTGGCCGTGGCTCTCTTCGGCCGCATCCGACGCCACCGCTGCGAGGCGCCCCGAGTTCTTTTGGGGCCAGGAGGGCGTGACTGGCTCTTACAAGGGTTGAATACCGTTCCTAAGTTAGCAGTGTACATTGTTCGTTCCTTATCCGAAGTGTATATGCTGCGATGAGAGCAACGGGGCCTCACCTACAGAGTCAATCAAGGAAGAGCAGCAGTGAAAGCCTTTACGAAGGCCCGTGGCAAGATATGCGCGTATGTTCCGAGTTCCGACACTCGTTCCAAGGCGGAGCTCTCCCAGCCTGCCATGTGCATAGGACAAGCATCACAGATAGTATTCTCGGTGTTGAACTTATCTTATTATGCAAGGAAAAGGCTACCTCACCACCACCACCACCACCACCACCACCACCACGACCACCACCACCACCACCACCACCACCACCACCTGTCAACCGTTCCAGCTCCCATTCGCAATGAAGCACTGCCCGCAAACCCTGTAGTCCTTAATTACACTGCGATCATTAAGCGACATAAAAATCTGTTTCGCCTCGCAGCAGGTGCTTCGTTTCTGCACCGGAGCAGGTTGCCCAGATGCACTTTTGTGCAAGCCAAGTACTGTTGAGGATCATGGATATTGGGTCCAGGAGAGCTTCAGCCTACAAGGAGGTTTTATCGAAACAGCGGTATCATACAGTTATTTGACACGACATGTACCTGGGGATTCCAAAGGCACATGAACATGAGGCTCTTGCAGTGAAGGAGCTTCTGGCATGCACCTTTATGGGAATCCTTTTGTCTCGTGTTGTTCAGGCTTCTGGCTCCTATTCCTTCCTCAAACTTCTGTTCGAGTGCTCAGCCAACTTTACCCCAACCTAAACAACCAAGTGTTCTTAACTCGGCGTAGGGTTCAGTTTAGGGCTTCGGCTTATATAGGGTTTAGGGATTCTTAACAATGGCTTACACATACTTTTCCTCAGACTTCCTTGGCTCGCAAAGCTCCGTGGAAGGCTAACACCTGAACTGTATGGGTTAGGATTTTGAAGACGGTTGACTAGCTTGGATTTCAGTCCGTGGCGGACGGTGCACCTTCAAGAAGTAATTGATATGTAATGAGTTGAACTACCGGAACGCCTGGGTCATTGTCATCTCAAACAGACTGGAATACGTATTTCTCGCCGGTTCCCCTGCGCAACCAGCCTCCATGCCGTGGTGATCTTCTCAAGCCACCTGGAGGTTGCTCTAGGCATCTCTAGCCTCTGTTCCTGCAGCTATCATACAAAGATAAGCTATATTTCGTTCAGACGTCTCGGAAGAACTTCCAAGCATGACAAGTCTCGCTAGATTTACACGCCGGAAAATTCGATCTTATCTCCGAAGAACTCCTCTCAAAAGCTCAAACCTCGATGCCCTTTGGAAGGCCGTTTTCAGACGTTAGGGCCCAGAGTCAATGGAAAGATCCCGTGGGTTTTGGGTGAGGGGTTGAGGGCCAGCTTCGGGGTAGTGTATGGTTGGGGAAAACTGGTACACTAGTTTCCTGAACCCTAAACCGTTCAGTGAAGCGCCATGGAAGTTTCCATCTGCTCCTGCCTATACCAGAGCCTGGGAAGCGGTCTTATCTTTCTCTCCCAGCTTTTCCTGCGCCTGGACCTTTACGTCCTGGGGCATTCTCTAGAGATCGGCACCTGCAGGACCCGGGAAGAATCCCCGTTAACCCCAATAAGGAGACTATAGAATTCGAAAATACAGTCCCCGAAAGGGGAACTAGAGCATTCTGAATGGGGTTTCTTCGAGGGACGAAGCAAGGAATGTAAACCCTAAGCCCTAAGCCTTGGGTTTGGGAGGCAATCCCCGTAAAACACACAGGCTTTCCACTTTACGAGTCCCAGCCAAACTAATGCATCTTGCACACTAACCATAGAAACGCATAGCCCTAAGACTTTAGATCCAGACCCTAAATACCCTCGGCCCTGAACAGTAAGCCCTAGAACCTAAACTTCAAAGCCCGCAACCAGGAGAAGCAGCAGTTCTGGCACAGGGCTTCCCCTCATCGCGGAAGGTGTGGCTATTGAAACGATCAAGGGCTTAGGGTACCAGATCAGGGAGCTGAAGGTGGAGTCAAACAACACCAGGAAGGGGGGTTTACAGAGATGTAAGTTTAATTAAGTGAGATAAACCCCTGTACTTACCAAGTACCAAGCCCCTGATCCTTCAAATAGACTACTTCAATGAAACGCAAACCCCGGACCCCTGAAGCTCCAAACCATCACACCTCCCAGCGAGACCTCCGGAGCAGTACAGTAGAGCGAATGCTCCGAGAATTTTAGACGACAGCTTGAACCCGATCGGACCTGTAACCCTACGACCTCTATCCTTTGCGTGACAGTCTCTATTGAATCCTACAAGCGCTCTAAGCAAGTTCTTTCAGCGAAACCAGCCAACTTAACTCCAACTCCAAGGGTGCAGGAGGCAAAAGAAACTCCAATTCCCTTGCCAAGCCCGTAAGCAAATGAATCTCCAGCAAACCGAACAAAATCCCGAACTGAAACCCCCAGAATTCCCAGCAGAAGCCAAGCAAGGACCACTCTAGATTCTAATAGAGGCTATATACCTAGGAAGCCCGCAAGAGAAGCCTGAGGCTCCAACACCCTAAACCACCCAAAAACCACAACCCTTGACCCCAAAGCCCTACTGTACTAGACCCTGAACCCCAAAAAAACAAAGCTGGTTCCTTAACCGGCAAAACCCTAATTAAAGCACCAAAACCCGTAAACCCCTAAACCCCTAGCAGCTGCTTCAAGGCGTGGTTGCGGAATCGCAAGCACTCATTGCCGAGACCGCTGCGCAGCTGGGCCTCGGTGTCTCGCCTGAACCATAGCGTTTAGGGTTTGTGGGGTTTTAGTTTGGGGTTTGTAGGGTTATAGTTTAGGGTTTGTGGGGTTTATTTTAGGGGTTGTAGGGTTTTAGTTTAGGGTTTGTGGGGTTTTAGTTTAGGGTTTGTAGGGTTTTAGTTTTAGGTTGGTGCGGTTTTTAGTTGCCTGGCGCCTGAACCATAGTGTTTTGGTTTGTGGGGTTTTAGTTGCCTGGTTTCGAGGAAAGGTTGGACAAGACCTTAAATGCCGTATTCTAAGCATCTAGGACACCTCTATTCAAGGGACCTTCATGGTCCTAGCAAACCACCGGCCAGCAAGGTGACGAACGGCTCCGAGACAACGACAACTGGGCGCTCTTCCTACTGGCGCCTCAGTTTGTTGAAGTTTCCGCAGGCAGACGGTTGTCTGATAAGGAGGAATAGAAATATGACTGCGATGCGTGTGAATGTTTTCCGTCGTTCTGGGTTGTGTTGCTCCCCTGCTCAATTTCCACTATCAGGTGTTTTGGGCTTTGCCATGCATCCTCGAGTTTTGATGCCGAAGCAACCCTGATCCTGAGCGGCCTCCGGTTTCTAGACCCTGTAGACCCTGTTAGGAGTCAGATGGGATAGAGCTCCCGGTTTGGAAACAATGGCTCAGGTGTCGATACCTCTGCGGTACATCATTAACCCGCTGGTGTTTTTGGTGGACCAGTTCGGGCTTTGCGTTCGCTGCTTGGGCGTGCTGCTCGTCGGATCGTCAGTTGTCTTCTTCTTGTGGTACAGCTCCTTGGCCATAGACTGAGGGGTCAAAATCTCGAGCGCGCGGGCTAGGGGCGTTGTGGCCTTGGGCTTCAGGGTTTGTTGTGTGTGGCTTTGGGCGGTAGGATCTGTAGTGCTTAAGGACCAGAGTCCGGAGAGACAAGCTGAGCTTGTTTGCGGAGGGTCTGAACTTTAAACCCTGACCCTACACCCCAACCGTAGACCCTATCAGCCCTATTATAGCCTACCCTTTGGCTCCAGTTGCCCAAATTGCTGTAGTTTGCTAACCAGATACTATGTACACCAGTAACCTACTATGTAGGTAACTGTATAGAGCCCTGTAGTGCCAACCTCCGTGTTCAACGTCAGTCAGGCGTTCTGAGTCTCAAGGTTTACAGTTTAAGCTTGGGGTTTGAGGTCCTGCCTGGGCCTAGGTGCTGGTAGTTTTAGAGTTCAGGGTCAAAGGCAGAGCGACACAGCCCGGATGCTGACACAGGGTTTAGGACTCAGGATGTCTGGCCGAATGTTTGAGCAACCTTTTCCGTTTTTCAAGGGAATCGTCGCCCCTCTCTACAATCGGGCGGAAACCTTCCGCTCACATAAGGAAGTGGAAAACTAACTCTGTACTGCCTTGGTTTCATTGGGACGGACTGGCATGAGGTGCTGGCACATTCGGGACCCCGCCAAATATTCAATAGTCAAGACGCGCAGCCAAAATCAAGGGACACTTCATGCCCAGGAATCAGCCGAGACCCTAAACCCTAAACTATTTCAGTGAAGTCAGCCGAGGCTTGAACTTAGCACCTGAACCGCACGACTACCAGTCCTTCGAACAGTTGGAGAGGAGTCCCCTTCTCCCTGCACTTCTGCTTGTTTGCACCCTGACCCTTGGATTCAGTGATGGCACTGCAAGATACGAGAACTTTAGCAGTTGTTTTTTCAATCGTATCTTTTCTCTTATCTTTAAAGAAAGTTTGAGGGGGAGCATGTATTCAGCTAATCCCGACCCCAAACAGAACGACTTCAACTGCCCAGAATTATCCTTGTCTTCTTCTCGTTGGCCAACCTTCGATACCTACGTGCTGGGACAATGCCTCCCATGCCCGTGACCTACGCGCTGTTGGTGGGCAAAGTCTTCCTCCTCATGCGCATGGCTATGAGCGCCTTGCATAGACTTGCAAGACATCGGACACGGGTGCCTCAGCTGTCTCAACTTGATGTTTCTTTCGTCGGCCATTCTCAGGTTACTCCAGCCGTGACATGACTGTGGCGCTTGACTACTTCGTGAAGCAGGAACTGATTTTGATCAGTTGCCACGCCCTGGGGTCCTTTTTCTTAGTTCCCTGGACTGTACCGACGCCGTCAGAAGCTGACCACGGCTCGCAAGAAAGTTCCAGCATGCGGGACATTGAGAAGCGCATGGCTATGATCGCTCTGATTGACTTGGGAAAGACGCTGATCATGCTGGTTTACTGGTGGCAGCTCTTCGCGCCCGGATGGATCGAAGTATATGTATCCCGTGCGCCGGCTATGTGGGCCCAAGTCGTTCTGGCACTCACCGTGCACCTCTGGCTAGATCTGCTGCAGAGTGCCATAACAGTGTTTACCGTGCATCTCGCCCGACTGCGGCATTCTCTGACGCAGCTGGCCTGCCGTGCAGAGGACCCTGGCACCTAAAAAAGGTGCGTTTGCTGCGCACACAGCCAATGCCGTCTTCGCTCTCAGCACAATCACCCTCAGTACCGTCAGCATCAACATCAGTATCATCATCACCATCATCATGCTCGACACCACCAACAACAACACCGGCAGCAACAACTACATCAACAAACATGCCATCGCTAATATGGCCGTTCTCATTGTGTCCGACATCAATGTAATCAAGGAGGGGGAGTGGGAGTTGGAGTGCCAGGTATCGTCTCAGCATTATAATGGGAACTCCAGAAAGTTGGAATATGGATTAATGGTAGGACCCCCTATAATTTACCATAAAGGGGTTAGGATAATCATATTCTTTGGCCCCTGTACCCTCGGAGCTGGAGGCCTTACGCAACACGCCTAAACAAGGGGCCTTAATAAGTAACTCTACAGCCTTAGGGGATCCTTATAATTATGGGGCAATGGGCCCCCAAACCCTTTTGTAATTATTTAGGCCCCTATATTACACAAGTTTCGATGTCATGCTTGTGATACAGGGAGGGCTTACAAATATTTGCCAATACTATTTAGGGGTTCCTTAGTGTTTTTTTGTGCAGAAGAAGCCCCAAAACTATTGCGGGCCTCCTTATTACAACTACGATAGTACGCCCAAGACCGTATTCCAGTTATTAAAGATCTCAAACAAGCTGCTGGACCCTTAATGCTTAGGCATGTGCAGAACTTCGTTTGGAGTTTTGAGGTATCATGCAGAACTAACCTGCGAACTCAGAGGGTCTCAGCATATAAATAAGGTTTAGGGATTAGGGTTGTAGGGTTTAGGGTTTAGGGCAACCAACGCAAACCGTAGTGCACCCAAAGCTCTTGTTCTTCGCTCCGTAGACCTGCCATTGTTCCAAAATCTCAAGTCAGCAACGCTGTAAGAGCCGGAAATCCCATAAATCTTTTTTGGAAACCTAAGCGATGGAATCCTCATAGACCCCTAAAGACCCTAAACCCCAAAACCCTTAAGACACAAGCCCTTGAATTTCTTAGGCTTCCAAGTCCTCGGTGGACTTTCCAAATTGACGACCGCCTTCTTGCGTGCACACGAGGAGGCCCACGTCGGAGCTCTGCTATCGGCTTTTCAATTGAGGTCTCATTTTCAAAAATAGCAATTCCTACGAGCTTTTTACACGCGTTCACACTTCAGTGATGTTTTGTTAAGGGGTGGGCAACGAGCGAACATCGATGTTCTTTTCTGGATAGTCGGTAGCTGCGGTTGAGCACGGCCTTTATGGGAGTCTTTCCGTCCAAAGCGGTTCAGTACGGATTCAAAGCGCGTCTTCCATTTCGTGAGGACTCAAAGGACTTACCAAAGTCTTGACGGGGGCTTTGAAGTAAGGCAGTTTTGGTACAGGTGTTACAGGCGGTCTAGAACATGGGAAGTGATCAGGATGCTGGCTCAAGCAAGAAGGCCAGAAACCATGACCAGAGCGAGATGCGGATCACCAGAAGCCCTGCGCAGCAACGCGACGGTTGACGAAACATAGCAGATGTAAGGCGCTGGGGTCTGCAACAGTTCCAATTGCAGCGAAGCAGACTACGAATTGTAAGCGGTGAAGTTTATAAGCTTTGCTTTGGTGAAAAACGATCTTTGGAGCGCCAGACCCCAAGCCTTAGGCCACATTGCAGGTGGATACCTTGGTCACCGACGTTCCCCGTGACATGTCCGTCGCAAGTGGCTACTTGAGTTGTGGCTGGCGCCTCCAGGACAGCGAGCCCGATTTAAGGCATACGTGTTCAGGGTAGCCCGAAGTACAGTAAGTCTTGTCAGGTCTTTGTTTTTATGTACTGTGTGCACGGAGCCCTGACCACATATGCGAAACCCGAAACCTGCCTCAAACTTGAATTCTGCACCCTATAACCTCTTTCCTTCTTCCAACCTCTTGGGCCACTTCAAGAACATCTGCGCTTCTTGCCTTTTGGCTCAAATGCCTCTCTGAGACTCTGCGAATCAGGGGATCCCAGGCTTAGGGTTCAGGTCCAAAGCCAAGATTCTGAAAGCCCTTCGGGTGCAGGAGTATCCGAGGATAGGTTTATGATATTTGTTTCGTATGATGTAGTGGGCTATTACTAAATAGAGACTGAAGCCTTATAGCCCTCACGATGCATGCGGCAGATCTCTCAAAGTGCTGATGCATTGGCACGTCATCCGGCTTCAATTGGTTAGTAGGGAATGGAGGAATGGGGTACAATGATAACTACCATTACTACCATTCTTCCATTCCCTACTAACCAAAGGTAAGTTACGGGATTATTAAGGCCCTTGTATTATAGTACCCATTATAGATCCCTTATAGGAACCCTTATAATTAGATCCCTTATAGTAACCCTAATTAGATCCCAAAGGTCATCCGGCAGTTGCCGTTCTTCGGCTGTCTCCTCGCGGGAGTTGGTGCTGACGGCACGGGGCCCCGCTTCAGGCGACCGACGGGGTGCGCTAGTTGCGGTCGTACACACTTCAGAACTTCAGAGAGAAGATAGATTATCATACCTATCTATATATATATATATATAATATGTATGAAATGTGAAATTCGCATATATACAAATATATATACACACACATACACACATAACTTTACATCCTAGACTCTGAGCCCAGAGCTTTGGTTCGGCAACGACAGCCCGCCTTGCGGGAACTCTGTTTGGACGAATCCTAGGCCCAAAATCAAAAGCCTTCGCCAGGTGGATGGGAAACCCTAAGGTAGAAGCCAGAAAGTTGGAATATGATTATCCTAACCCTTCTATGGTAAATTACAGGGGATCCTACCATGAAAGCATATTCCAACTTTCTGGAGTTCCCTGTATTCCGAAAACCCGAGAAAGCCCATGCCTAGCTTGGAACCCGAAACCTTCGGTTGATGATATAAATCCTGCATTACCTTAAGGACCCTAAACTATGGGAAGTATGGTATAACTCCTTATTATGGGTGATGCAGGATTTATATCATCCCTAAACCCTAAACCCCTTAAAGGAATCCCTTAAAGGTATCCTTAGAGATCCCTTTAAAGGAACCTCAGGATTTATATCATCAAACGTTCGACCCAAGAGTCCCTAACCCTGCAAGGTCTGACTTTGCCAAGTGTGAGCGTCAATACCTCAAAGCCCTAAAGGGAACTCCAGAAAGTTGGGCATATGGATTAATGGTAGGATACCCTATAATGTACCATAGAGGGGTTAGGAGAATCATATTCCAACTTTCTGGCTTCTACCTTACACTCAAATGCAATCCATGTGGTCTCAAAGGACAAGGATCCTAAGCGCCTGCTTTCCTCCCAGAGGGATGCCGCGATGGTTGCTATGTCTCGCTTGCTTCTGGGCCGATAGTTTGGCTGCATCTGCGAGTCAGACGTCCCGCTGTCGTGCCCGGTGCTCAGGCCCGAAGACGGCATCGGACTTTCAGAAACAAATTTTACGAGGCAAGGAATATGAGAAAGCCTTTCCTCCCTTCGCCGACTGCGAGACTCCAGTGGATATCCAAATACAGTTCTTCCTCCAAAGCTTTGATGCCGTGGATGAACAGCATGAGTCTGTGACAGTCACAGGTTATCTTAGACATTGGTGGGTGGATGACCGACTGGCATTTCTCCACAATGACGCTTGCACGGAGTCCGTGTACATCCCTGCAGGTTTGATCTGGACTCCAGACCTATACATCTACAATGCAATTCAGCAGTCCCACCAAGAGAACGGCATCATCACCGCTGTGCATGCAAACGGAACAGTCTTTCATTCCGTTGCTTTCCACGGCAGCCTCAAGTGCTCCATGCAGTATCACCGCATGCCGTACGACTCGCACGGCTGCTACATGAAAGTGGGCCGTTATGATGCGACGACGGACATCATTCGAGTGAGGCCACGGAATGGCGCCGAGGAGAACATGGTCAAGACAGGGATTGGTGTTGTTGGAGACAAGATGTTCTCGCCCAGCTGGTTCATTGAGAATGAGCAGGCTATCCAGAATCCCGGGTTGCGAACCCAGAAGTACTGGCCGGACCTTGGGGGATCCACCGACATCGTCTTCCTGCCTTTCAAGTTCTCTCGCCGTCCTGGATACCTGGTTCGCATGGTGCTGGTGCCATCCTGGCTGTTTTTGCTGGTGAGTTACACCGGCTTCTTCATCGATCCAGGCTCCGCTCCTGCTCGTGCAGCGGTTGCCTTGCTCCCGGTTCTCATCATGCGAACGCTGCAGGGCTTCGTGTTCTCCAAGCTCCCGCAGGTTGCCACGTGCGTGTGGCTGACCGAGTACCTGCTCGTCTGTATGATCCTATGTTGCTATGCTGCCATTCACCTGGCCATCGTGCAGCTTCTCTTGATCTCTGAACAGAAGGCTGCGCAGAATCTGAAACAACTTCAACAGGTGCAGGCAAAAGCACGTGAGCTCATCCGGGACTCCTTGAAGAAGAAGAAGTTTGTTGTAGAATTGCTGCAAGACTACAAGCCCGTACAGCGAACAAGAAATTATCATGACGTTCATCTTTCGTATTTAGCAGGGCGGAAAGATGCCACAGAGCCTGCACTCAACACGAGCCAGACGCGTGAAGAGCTCGAGACGATAAAGAGCTACACCGAGATGACGGATTCACCGAAACACGCGAAGCACGACGGATCTGATGATGTGAAGATTCCCTTGATTGCAACTGAAGACTCCACACCAACTTCGAGACCTCGGCAGGGCTCAGTCGCCGAAGAGTTCGAGGCACGGTGCTCTTTCCACATCGGTTTCAGCAGCCGCAGCCATCTTTCTCCCATTGAGCAGGGGGTGACAACAGAAGGTGACTTGTTGGTCATCAAGCACTTGCTCTCTCTATGGGAGAAGGAGGTCACCGGCGATCCCCCACTTGCTGATCCCGAAATGCTTCGCAAAGTCATGACCAGGTTCAACATCTATATTACAGCAGCTGACGCCGAAGACATCATGTGCATGTTTCTCCGTGACAAGGGCTTTGATACTCCCGTTGAAACTGGCAATGTGCGCATCATCTTTTCCCTATTCATGGAGCTTTTGCTCGACATGGAGAAGTACAAGTTTGCTGTGCAGCCGCCCCCTTGGTACAGCCTCCCCTTGTCCCCCAGGGTTCCGTGGTCTCGGAGGCTCGACGTGAGCCTGCAACTCCTTTTCCCGCTCGTCGTCGCCTTGCATGCCTTGATCTTCTTCAGCTTGATCAGAGCCTACCCGCAAAACCCTGACATTGGTCTTGTGGAAGACATGGACCGTGTCATGGAGTGGCAATGAGGCAGCCTGCAATAGAAGCAAAGCAGTACAGTACAGTACAGCCTTGTCAAGGCAGCGGCTGCTTTAGAAACAGACTTGTGCAGATGGTGCTGCTTTGAGAATAGACAAAGAGAACTCGCCTGCATTGCCCGAGTTGTGCGAGCGTAAACCCTAAACTGTTCTAAACCGTGGAAGGAGACTACCAAGACTTTGACGCTGATCGACTGGGGTCTTGCTGAAACCCAATGCTGACCAGCGCCATCGGCTTTAGTTCTAGAAGAGATCTCTAGGCTGGGGCATCACGGGCCCCCTTCAAACGCCTGAATCAAGCTGGGTTTGGGTACAAAACCGGTGTCTATGCTTTCGAGTCTCGGGCTCCTTGATCTGAGTCTTCCTTAGATTTAGGCTTATGGGCTTAGGGTTTAGAGGTTTAGGGTTTAGGGTTTGGGGTTTAGGCTTAGGGTTTCGGAAATGGGGTTTAGGGTTTAGGGTCCTCGGTTCCTGGCATATGCGTGGTCCAGGTGTAAGAAGGGTTTAGGCTAGGTTCCGGAAAGATCCCAAATCCACACGCTTGGTCCAGGTGGTTGGGGAAGGAAAATGCCCCCTCCGATGTCGGGAGAATGGTTCAGGCCGTGTCAGCCACTTGCCGGGTGGAGTTTCAGTGATGGATGAATCCTAAGGGTCCTAAGTGTCCTAACTAGTACTCACCTAGCAAACGATGGCCTTCAACCCTAAACCCTCCATTTGGGTATTCTCGGCCAGTCTGCACTACTTGATTGAGCTTTTGGGAATTTAGGGCAGGTTGGACCCTCAGATGATGGGAGCTCTTGTGTAAAGGCACCCACCACCGAAACCGAAGCGTAGAAGCAATGAAAGCCTTGTGCTTAGGCCGCTGGGCACGTCGGAAGGGGTTTGACAGAGCTGCCCATGAACTTTGGAACATGAACCTGCCACCTTCAGACTTGCAGTCATGGCCTTCTAAACCCTAAACGCCTAATGAAACCCTCAACCCCGGCCCGTTGTCTTTCGTCAGATGCAGTTTGCTGCCGTATTCCTGGTGAGGGGCTTCGGGGGTCTCGTTTGGACTTGGCAGTCCCAGCATGCTCCCAAGTTCAGGCCAAAGCACGAGCTCTAGTAGACCTCATGAATTTCGATATTTAGAGTTTTAGAGGTGCCTACGACTGGTATCCTACTTTCTTTACCAGCTATGCTAAAAATATTCTGGTTTTTGAAAATCACAACTTCGACTTCTCTTTGGCAGCGCTGACGGCGAAAGGCCGGCTGTAAAGCCATGTGTCGTGCACCGCAAAGGCCATGATCGTGGATTCCGCGTTCTGCTTCGAAGAAGAGGTGGGGCGTTGGGAAGACCACGTCTGTATGAACTACATCAGCGAGCGTAGTAAGGTGGCTAGGAGAGACATCCGTAAAGTAATCCTCATATGTTACGTTCGTTTTCAACCCCATGTCTGAACTAGTACATACTGTGTCCTG